GCCTGTGGTCCCAGCTACTTGGGAGGCGGAGGCAGGAGACTCGCTTGAGCCCAGGAGTTGGAGGTTGCTGTGAGCTGTAATGCCATGGCACTCCACCCAGGGGGACAGCTTGAGGCTCTGTCTCAAAAAAAAAAAAAAAAGCCACATTATGGAGTAAGAGGCAAACTTTGGTTTTGCTTGGAGATAGGGTTTTGCTCTGTTGCCTGGGTTAGACTGCAGCAGCAGCATCATAGCTCACAGCAACCTGAAACTTCTGGGGTCAAGTGATCCTCCTGTCTCAGCCTCCTAGGTAATTGAGACTCCAAGCATGCACTTCCATACCCAGCTAATTTTGTTATTTTAGGTAGAGCCAGGGTCTCTTGTTCTCAAACTCCTGGCCTCAACCAATTCTCCTGCCTTGATTTCCCAAAGTGCCAGGATTACAGGCCAAATTTTGTATTTTAAAAATACTAAAGCATTGGGCGGCGCCTGTGGCTCAAGGAGTGGGGCGCCGGCTCCATATGCTGGAGGTGGCGGGTTCAAACCCAGCCCTGAACAAAAAAATACTAAAGCATTAAAAACTGGTAGTCTCTGGGCCCATGGGCCACGTACTGAGAGGTCAGTTACATGGTATTTCATTTAATCCTTACAACCCCCTGTAGGTAGGGGTCCTATTCCTATTTCAAAAGTAGGGAAACTGAGTCTTAAAGTCAAATAACTTGTTTTTTTTTTCTTTTTTTGCAGTTTTTAGCCAGAGCCGGAATTGAACTCGCCACCTCCAGTATATGGGGCTGGCGCCCTACTCCTTTGAGCCACAGGTACCGCCTAATAATTCTTAATGGCCTCTCAGTGTGTGGAGACAGGGAAGTAGTAGCTTCCACACAAGGACCAAAGACCATGCCAGCTTCTTCCCCATCCAAGATCTAGGTCTGGGACTTACCCCAGAGTTGTTCAATGGGTCCCTGCTGGGGGGGCTGCTTTGCTCACTGGGGGGCGATGGTGCCTGTGGGGCAGGGCTGCCCTCTGGGTCCCCCTCTGGGAGGATGCCACAGCCAAACACAAAGGAGGCCAGTGAGTGGCAGTGGGTGAGCAGGACCAGGGCCTGAATGAGTTCGGCCAGAGACCAGCTGTGCTCGCCTGTCTTCAACAAGGCCTGGAGGAGAAAGAAAACCAGACGTGCTTAGTGCCTGCCCCTGGGCTGCCCTCCATGCCCAAGCCAGGCCCCTGTGCTCCCTCAGGGTCCCGCCTCTTTGCCCACTGCACCTGAATGTGCTCCTTGGTGATGAGCCATGGCCGATGTGCCAGCAACTTGTTGATCTCACTGAGTTTGCGCAGCTTCTCAGGGACCCGGTGGAGGCCCAGCAGCCATTCAGGGTCACCACCAGTCTGTAGAAACTCAGCCATGTGGGACCCCACCAGGTAAGAACACTGGTGGCGGGCAGCAGCCTACAGAAGTGGTAGACAGACCTGGGTTACCCTCTTCCTTCGGTGCCCTGCTCAAGGTGGGTATTCCCACAGAGGGGAATATCCCAGGACTCACTGTTGCCTAAGAGGTAGGAAACCTAGGTTCTAACCTCAGCCCTGCCACCAGTTTACAGGTAACCTGACCCTGTTATACCTCAATTTCCCAATCTGCAAAGAAGGCACTAAAAATGCCTCTACGCAAAACCTAAAATTCTATGAATGGTCAGAAAAATCCAGGGTTTTCCTCCATTCTGTGCTGCCTTCCCCTCTTGCCTATGGAATCAACTCAGAAAGCTCCCAGCAAAGAGATCCAAGGACAGAATCGTCCACGTAGCTGCCCCTACAAGTGTGAAGGCCAGACAGGCTCACCATGATGGCAATGTAGTGGCGCCAAGAGCTGGCCAAGGGGCCATCAGTATGTAGCAGCAGGTAGTGCAGGCGCCAAAAACTGTTAAGGTAGTCAGGGTGCAGGCCCATCACCACTGCCAGATTGTCCACCCGTCCTGAGGACATCAGTGCCTCCAGCCCTAGGTGCTGCTCGAGGCTCTCAGTCCCCTCCCGAAGGACCTGCAAAGCAAAGGAAAGACCATGGGTTTCCCTCCTGTCCTTAAAGATAGTACATCTTTGCCCACTGTATTTATTACTGTATTCTTTGCTGTAAATAAACCGAAAACCACCGCCATGCTCCAAAAAAGGGGGACACGGAGGAAAAGACATTTTAGTAAGTGATTAAACTAATAATACTTATTAGGGACCCTATATAATAATAGCCAAGACTTATATGTGTAATGCTATATGCCAAGAACTGTTCAACCACATTATATATATTACCTCATTTAATTCTCACAACTATAAAATTAGAGTACTATCTTCTCCATTTATAGATAGGAAAACTCAGGCACAGAGACTAAAAGTACACATTCTCCTCCCTTCCTGGAGCTTTAATTCTTCTTTCTTTTTTTGGAGACAAAGTCCCCCTGGATAGAGTGCCATGGCTCTCAGGATCCTCAAATTCTGGGCTCCGGAGATCCTCTTGTCTCAGTCTCCAAAGTAGCTGGGATTATAGGCGCTGGCCACAATGCCTGGATATTTCTTTTTCTTTTCTTTCTTTTTTTTTAAAGAGACGGTTCTTACTCTTGCTCAGGCTATTCTTGAACTCCTGAGTTCAAGCAATCCACCCACCTCAGCCTCCCAAAGTGTTAGGATTACATGCATGGGCCTCTGTGCCTGGCCATGGAGTTTTCATTCTAACACAGCAAATGCATGCAACCATGGGTGTGGGGGGCAAGTGCAAAATAGTTCACTTATCCTGAGTGCTTTCTCCATGGTGTGCCTGACTTTGGAGATTTCCCCACATTATTTCATCGAATCTTTTCTTTTTTTTAGAGATAGAGCCTCAAGCTGTCGCCCTGGGTAGAGTGCTATGGCATCACAGCTCACAGCAACTTCCAACTCCTGGGTTCAAGCGAGTCTCTTGCTTTAGCCTCCCAAGTAGCTGGGACTACAGGCACCCGCCACAGCGCCTGGCCATTTTTTGGTTGCAGCCATCATTGTTGTTTGGCGGGCCTGGGCTGGGGATTCGAACCCGCCACCTTAGGTGTATGTGGCTGGCGCCTTAGCCGCTTGAGCCACAGGCGCCGAGCCACAAGTGATTTTCTTGACTCACCCTCCCAAATAACTGGGACTACAGGCACCCACCACAATGCCTGGCTATTTTTAGAGATGGAGGTCTCGTTCTAGCTCAGAGCTGGTCTTAACTCCTGAGCTCAGGTAACTGGCCCACCTCTGCCTCCCAGAGTGCTGAGATTATAAGCATGAGCCACCGTGGTTAGTTAGCCAATTTTTCTATTTTTATTTATTTTATTTAATTTTTTTTTGAGACAGAGTCTCACTCTGTCGCCCTGGGTAGAGTACCGTGAAGTCATAGCTCATAGCAACCTCAAACTCCTGGGATTAAGAGATTCTCTTGCCTCAGCTTCCCAAGTAGGTGGGACTACAGGTGCCCACCACCATGACCCGGTATTTTTCTTTCCTTTTTTGTAGTTGTCATTGTTGTTTTTAGCAGGCCTGGGCCGGGTTTGAACCCACCAGCCCCGGTGTATGTGGCTGGCACCCTAACCACTGAGCTATGGGTGCCAAGCCAATTTTTCTATTTTTAGTAGACACAGGGTCTCACTCTAGCTCAGGCTAGTCTCAAATTCCCAAGCGCAAGTGATCCTTCTGCCTTGGCCTCTCATAGTGCTAGGATTACAGGTATAAGCCACCATTTCTGGCCTGGAAATTTTTTTTTTTTAGTGATAAACCTATATTGGCTGGTCTAATGGTAGTGGGTTATCAGAGCTTATTAACATTACCTACTGCTAAATTTGACTGTTTTAAAATAGTAATAGTAATAGTAATAAACATCTATTACTGTTGAAGCAAAAAATATTTTTGTTGTGATATATACACAGTCAGGGGTGAAAAGAAATATAGATAGTTCTGTCTTATTCAGGAAAAACAGACACTGATCTGGCAATCAAAAGTTTGGCCATTACCTGGCTGTATTATTAGTACTTTATCTCTTCGAGCCTATTTCTTCCCAGTAAAATGGGCTTCACAGTACCTGCTTCACAGAGCTGTTTTATGGATTAAATGAATCAGGAAACTGAAATGGTAGTGTCAAAGTTTCAATTTAAGAAACTGAAACTACCCCCCACCCCAACCAATATCCCATGTCCTTTCTTCCCAGGCACCAAAGATTCCTTACCCCTTCCAAACGTACCTCCTCCACTGGGATGAAGGCACTGGGTCCTCGAGGACTTCGCCGAGCCCGGCTCTCTCTCTGCTCCTGGGAGGAACATATCAAGGTTAGTGGGTGGTAGTGGGAAGAATAAAAAGGATGGTTATCTCTTTTGCTGCCTCCCTCTACCCTACAGAGGGGCTACAGTGAGCTTTTAAAACCACCCTTCTGGTATACCCTGCACAGAGGAGCCAAGTGGAAAATGTACACCTACTTGGAAAGTGGCAGGTGGCACAAGGGTAAATAAGGAAGAAGATTCATTCTAGGTTGCATTCTTCAGAAACTGTGCAGGGACCCACGAGACCCAGGATTGCTTGGATGGGGGATATATATGGGTATCATGTTGCATATCTCCAGGAGACCGCCTTCTTAGCAACCCCAGGGAATTCGTATAAGAAGCCTCCCGGCTGGGTATCCATAGCTCAACAGTTAGGGAGGCAGCCACGTGCACCAGGGCTGATAGGTTCAAACCTGGCCCAGGCCTGCTAAACAAAAAGAAAAATAGCCGGGCATTGTGGCAGGTGCCTATAGTCCCAGCTACCAGGAAGCCTGAGGCAAGAGACTCGCTTGAGCCCAAGAGTTTGAGGTTGCTGTGAGCTATGATGCTACAGCACTCCACAGAGGGCGACAAAGTGAGACTCTGTTTCAATTTAAAAAAAAAAAAAAAGCCTTCCATTGTTTGTATCTTGCAACCAGGTAACCAAGTATCTCAGAAGCCTTCTTATCCTCTTCCCACCACTACTTCATAGACTAACTGCTACTATCTCTTATCTGGACCACCGCCTCACCAATTGTCTCCTTGTCTCCACTGCTCTGTCCTCTCCTGTCCATCCAGAAGCCAGATTAACTTTCTGAAATGTAAACTTGATCAACTGGCCTAAAATCCTACCTCCTCCTCCCATGGCCTTCCAGATAAATTAGTCCCACTGCCCTCCCACTGGACACTGGACACTTATTTTGCAAAGCTCTATTTTTTTTTTTGAGACAAGTGTGAAGAGTAGAGTTCTGTTACGTCACAGCTCACAGCAACCTCCAACTCTTGGGCTTGAGCGATTCTTTTACCTCAGCCTCCCAAGTAGCTGGGACTACAGGTACCCACCTCAACGCCTGACTATTTTTTGGTTGCAGCCGTCATTGTTGTTTGGCAGGCCTGGGCTGGATTCGAACCCACCAGCTCAGGTGTTTGTGGCTGGCACCTTAGCTGCTTGAGCCACAGGCACCGAGCCAAAACTCTTGAGCTTAAGCAGTTCTCTTGCCCTTAGCACCTCCTCTCAGTGCTACAGGTGTCAAGTCAGCAAAGGTAACTCTTACTATCCTTCAAGGTCTAGGAACTTTTTTATGATGCTTATCTATGACCCCACAATTACCAGGGCTGTTGCCTCTAAAAATGCTTTTTCTTTTTTTTTTTTTTTTTGGCCAGGGCTAGGTTTGAACCTGCCATGTCCGATATATGGGGCCGGTGCCCTACTCCTTTGAGCCACAGGTGCCACCCAAAATGCTATCTTTTAATGCCTGGGTTTTGATCATTTGTTTTTTAGAGACAGAGTCTCACTGTCACCCAGGCTAAAAGTGCAGTGGCACAGTTCTAGCTCACTGCAGCCTTGAATTCCTGGGCTCAAGCAATCCTTCTGCCTCAGCTTCCCGAAGTGTTGGGATTACAGACATAAGCCACCACACCCAGTGCTTATTATCTGTTTTATGTCTTTCTACTACCAGATCGCATTTTATGGAAGGCAGGGCTGTGTCACTCATACTAGTCTATGAATGAAAATAGAGAATGCAGCTCACACCTATAATCCTAGCATTCTGGGAGGCCAAGGTAGGTGGATTGCTTGAGCTCATGAGGGCAAGACCACCCTGAGCAAGAGTGAGACCCTGTCTCTACTAAAAGTAGAAAAATTCACCAGGCATTGTGGTGGGCACCTGTAGTCCCAGTTACACTGGAGGCTGAGGCAGAAGGATCATTTGAACCCAGGAGTTTGAGGTTGCTGTGAGATACAATGATGCCACAACACTTAATCCCAGGGCAAGGAAGTGGGACTCTATCTCAAGGGAAAAAAAAAAAGAAATAGAAGAAAAGTAGAGACTGCAGAAGGGCACGGAGGGAATCAGAGCAGGTGTACAAGGTGATGGTGATGATTATTCTAACGTGTATGTCTGAGCATCTTTAGAAACCATCAGAATCTTAAAAAATAAATCCCTTCCTCTTTTAAACATACACACACACACACACACACACACACACACAGAAGAAACCACCAGAATCATGTACTCACTAAATATGCTACTTCTAGTCCTAGAGATGAATTTCAGGGAGGCTGTTTTATTTATTCATTAATTTCGGTTTGGGGAGGCTCTCAGCATTCACCTTAGATACAGTTTACCCAAATCAGAGTCATGCTGTCACTGGGAAGAGGCAGGGGTCCCCCAGTTCTCCCCTCTCCATTAAGTTCTAGATTAATATCAGTCCCCAGCTATCCAGGGGCTAAAATCTATAATTGAACCTTCCTTCTCAGATAGCCATAGCGCCCTGAAGGAGGCAGACCTCTGGGACCCTGGAAGACTGCAAAGAAAGGAAGGAGCTATGGGACCTGGAAGTCTCAGGGGTACCAACTGGGTATACCAATTCTGTCATTAACTGGCTATGGAGCTCTGGGAAAGTTACCTAGATGTTTTGGGCCTTAATCCTGGACAAAGAAGGTGATAGGACTGAATGTAGGGACCCGCCCAAATAGAAGGGAGGGCAGGGACACAGAAAGAAAGCACAAGTCCCGCCCAGGAAGGAATGAGTGAGCCAATCTCTACTTCCCAAACCCTTATATTCCCACCCCGCCTTAAACCACGTGCTGACTTCTTTTTTGATCTCAGGCCACTAGCACCCGAGTGAATAAAGGCCACGTTGCCCACACAGAACCTGGACTCCACTCATGACTTGGAATAACCTCTCATTTTCAGTACCGAACCTCTCAAAAGGCAGCTGAGCTGTTCAGGTCCCTCTCTGCCTATACTTCTGGGAGCTACCAGCCAGGCTGGTCCAAGTTCAGCGTAGTAACCACCACAATCTCCATGGACTCCCTTGTCAGCTTCCTCCTCCCTCACCAAAGAGAAAAAGCCCAATAGCTCAGTCTGGGAGATAAGGATTGCTGACTCCACAAAGTGGGCCTCCCCCACAGGGGACCTGAGGACAGACAGAAAACTACAGCAGGAGTAGGGCAGGGCAGAACTGGGAGGGGAGGGCAGAGAGGGCCCACCAGAGGTGCAGGGGAGGAACAAGAATCACTGCTCACTGCAAAATCTGACCCAGGAGCTGATAGCTGTAGGTCCTTAAGGGAGCAGTCTAGATCCATCATTTTCCAGCAATAATAATAATAATGTACAGTTAAAAGATCGGGGATCCTGACACAAACTGTCTGGGTGCAACTGACAGCTCTACCAACTATCTATTAGCTATATAAGCCTCAGTTTTCTTACCAAATAATGGGGATAACAGGACCTGTTTTCACTAGGTAGTCATGAGGATTTAATGAGCTAATATCATACAACTTACCACAGTATTTCCATCACAATTAGCACTTAATAAAAGCAAGCTATCATTAACCTCATTGTTATTTCAAACAAGAGCTTCTCAACCAAGCCAGTATATTAGAATCTCTTTGAGACTATTTTATTTATTTACTTTTTATGGGGAGAGGGTCTTGCCCTGACACCTAGGCTGGAGTGCAGTGGCAGGAGCTTTTTTAAAAATATTGAAGCCAGGTTGGGTGTGGTGGCTCATGTCTGTAATCCTAGCACTCTGGGAGGCCAAGGTGGGTGGATCTCTTGAGCTCAGGAGTACGAGACCACCCTGAGCAAGAGTAAGACCCCATTTCCAAAATATAGCTGGGCATTGTGGCAGGCACCTGTAGTCCCAGCTACTCGGGAAGTTGAGGCAAGAGGATTGTTTGAGCCCAAAAGTTTGAGGTTGCTATGAGCTATGATGTCAGGGGGGAAACAAAGCAAGACTCTGTCTCAAAAAAAAAAAAAAAAAAAATACTGAAGCCAGGTGGTAAGACAGGAGACTAGCCTGGGAAACTCAAGACCCCATTTCAATTAAAAATATATATATTAATGTCAAGGTCTTACCTTTAGCAATTTTAATTTAATTGTCTAGGGTGGGGCCCCAGCATAATATACAGCCAGGGTGAGGACCATTGTTTGCATCATTTATTTATCACTTTCTCAAGCATAAGGCACTGCGCTAAGTGCTTTTCAGGTGGAAAGAGGATTAATTTGTTCATTCAACAAATTAAAAAAGAATTTTTTTTTTTTTTACTGTCAATCTCACTTATGTATGATCAACAAATGCTTTTGATGACAGTCTATTACAGCCAGCAAGAACACAGCAGTGAAAAGGCAAAGTCTTGGCCTTGATACAATTCTGGATCTAATGGCAAAAGACAAACAAATGAATAGGATTTCATATCATAGATTCTGTAAGGTGAGTGAAATAAAGCAATGAATATACAACGGGTGGAACAGTATGCATTATTTTAGAGTAAGAAAACAGGAAAAGCCACTGAGGAGGTGGCCTTTGAACTGATTATCTAAATGATGAGAAGGCAAGAGGGCCTGTAAAAGACTCTGGGGCAGCGGTTCTCAACCTGTGGGTCTTGACCCACAGGAACTGTATTAAAGGCATTAGGAAGGTTGAGAACCACTGCTCTAGGGGGACCAGCATTCCAGCCAGAGGGAACAGTATAAAGCCCTGAAGGCAAGATCAAGTAGATTTGATTCATGGCTCCAAGGCCCCAAATGCCTCTCTGACTTTGACTGCAGGGGAAGTTCAGGGGAAGCAGGCAAGGCAAGGTTCTATTGCCTAGAGATGATATCTCCAAATCAGCTCTCTCCCCATTCCCTGGCATGGGGAGTCAAAAGCCACAATGGTTTGTAACCACACTGGTTACCGCTGGCTAAGCACTGACTTCACATACACTAGCTAGACTTTAAGGTAAAGGCTACTACTAGGGGCCTCATTTTATGGATGAGGTCTAAAGCTCAGAGCTCACTTCTGGGTGCTTAGCTGGGAAGGAAGAAAGAGAGCTCAGGGATATAAACCCTGCAAGTGCAGAAAAGATTCTCCACCCTCTACATTTCTCAAGGTTTCACTAATCTCCAGGTGTTTGCACCTGAGGCTCACCAGGAGTAAAAGCACTTTCTGTCCACAACCACAGCACCTGTCACACTGTTTCTCACCTTGAGAGAACACACTGAACCTAGTTCCTTGTTGCTACTCCAGTGTTTGGCACAGCATTTTTTGCTATGATGGAATGCTTTATCACTGCACTGTCCAGAAAATATGGGAGTCCCTCATCACTGTTGCTGAGCATTTGAAATGTGACTAATGCAACAAAATAAAAAAATGAATTTTTCATTTTATTTAATTTCCATTTATCTAAATGTAAATAGCCACATATGGCTAAGGGCTGCCATCTTGGATAGCACAGGTTCAGCATGCCTGATGAAGGCTCGATTCCAGTCCCACTTAGCAGATAAAAGAAAGGGAAACCCAGAAGGGGCAGGTCACCTAGTGTGGGTCAGAGGGAGAACCAAAGGTAACTATTCCTATAGGGCCACCAGGAACACTGAAGTCAGACAACCTGCTGGGTGGCCACTCAACAGGAAGGTCTTCAGGCAAGTTGTAAAGATGGTAGTGGCCTTAGATCTCAGTGCTTGGCTAATTTAAGGACTTGCTACATGTTTTTATATTAGCTCAGGTAATTGCACACAGATTGTTTTTCTTTTTCTTTTTTGAGACTGAGCCTCATTTTGTCACCCTCAGTAGAGTGCCATGGCTCCACAGCTCACAGCAACCTTCAACTCTTGGGCTTAAGCAATTCTCTTGCCTCAGCCTGCCAAGTAGCTGGGACTACAGGCACCTGCTGCAACACCTGCCTATTTTTTTTTTTTTTTGGTTGTAGTTGTCATTGTTGTTTGGCAGGCCCAGACTGGATTCAAACCTGCCAGCTTTGGTGTATGTGGCTGGCCCTCTAGCCACTGAGCTACAGGCGCTGAGCCTGCACACAGGTTCCATTTAATTTTCACCCATTTGGGGGTGGGGGGCTCTATTTTGCACACAAGACTAAGTGTCCAATCTGAGATTTGAACCCAATTCACTCTGGCTTGCATTGTGAGCCACTTCTCACAATGACCTCTTAGAGAAGCCCCAGCATTTATTTATTCATTTAGCGATGGGGTCTCACCCTTTCACCCATGCCAGAATGTAGAGGTAAGATTGTAGCTCCTTGCAGCCTCAAACTCTGGGCTCAAGTGATCCTCCTGCCTCAGTTCAGCCTTTATTCTTTTTTCTTAAATGTAAAAGTAGAAGTTTATTTTATATTAGAGAGAAGGACAAGAGTAGAGGGAAGAGATGAGAGAGAAAAGGGAATATGGGGTTGGGGAGAGAAAAGGAGTAAGAGAGAGAATGGGTGCGGCATCCCAAAGAAAGAAGGGAAGAATGCCAGCCCCAGTCTTTTTTTTTTTTTTTTTTTGAGACAGAGCCTCAAGCTGCCACCCTGGGTAGAGTGTTGTGGCATCACAGCTCACAGCAACCTCTAACACCTGGGCTCAAGCGAGTGTCCTGCCTCCCAGTGTCCTGCCTCCGCCTTCCAAGTAGCTGGGACTGCAGGTGCCTGCCACAACGCCTGGCTATTTTTTGGTTGCAGCTGTTGTTGTTTGGCGGGTCAGGCTGGATTCGAACCCGCCAGCTCAGGTGTATGTGGCTGGCGCCTTAGCCGCTTGAGCCACAGGCACCAAGCCCAGCCCCAGTCTTTATTCTTGATACCTTATCTAGAGCTTGAGAGCCCCAGGGCTCACTCTGCTGCCAGGAGGGGGCAGACGCTATCACCCCCCACCCCAGCGCTGAACTTAGAAATCTGCCTGAGTTTACACCTTAGAGGAAGGCCCAGTGATATGGCCTATGCAGCTCCTCTAACCCTCTTGGGGGGGGAGGGGGTGTGCCTTATACTTGTCTTCCTGTGATGAACTGGGCACCAGGCTAAGTGCTTTACATCTGATCTGATTCCTCACAACCACCCAGAGGGAACTAAGTCTCGTTATCTATCCCTTGTTTAGAGACAGGTCTCTGAGGCTCAGAAAAGTCTTCTCCCAGATAGGCACAACTCAAATCTGACTCCAAAGATTGAGCAGTTCACAAGGATCACCTACACCAACAAGAGGCAAATAGTTATAGGTACAAAGAACAGTGCTGGGAGGAGACCAGCAAGGTGTATTGAGTCCAACAAGGGAGACAGACAAGAAACACCTAATTACACAACTGTTTCACACAATGGGACTAAAGCTCCAACAGTGGAGGAGGACTGGAAAAGGATATACAAGGGGACTTGCCTGGGGAGGAAGGGCTTCCCTAACTTTACAGTAGTTAGGGCAGCACTAACTAGTGTAAAGTCCTCGAAACTTTCCGGAAATATACACATTTGAGGGCCCCAGCTGCCCTGAAAAGGGGTGGGTAGTGAAATAACAGGGAGCTGAGGGGCCTTGGGCACCAGGCTCTATAAAATCAGTACCATACTATCTTCTAAGGACCCACTTAGACCAGATATCTTCCCAAAGTCCACTTTTCTCAAAAAAGAACACATAGAAATATTCCAGACCTCACCAGTTTTCCCCATGGATCAAACCGAGCTTCTGTCTAAAGGCCTCGAAGCCTGCCTAAACCACCTGAGACACTATTTTCTCCCTAGACCACTTCCCAGGTGTTGCCCTGGAGAGGGATGTACCAACTCTCACCTCAGGCAGACAGGCAGGAATAGGCTTAGACGTTCCTGGAGTGGGACACTCCAGGTTAAGAGAAATGTGTACCTTGGCCACATTTTATAACAGCTCAAATGTCTGATGCCATTACTATGCGCTAGGCACTGACTGTGCCAAATTTAGCCTTTGCTTGAATTCTGAGTTAATTCTCCCAAATAGTCCTAGGAGACACTTATAAAAACTGGGGAAGAGAGAAGTGATCACCAGGGTCTAGGCTAAGGCCACACAGTAAGTTAGCCAAAGGCTGGGGCATGAACCTAGAGCTGGCTTGCTCTAGCACCCAGGTGCTCTCAATGGTAACATTATTACCATTTTTAAAGAGAAACACTCTGTAAAGTGTCTTAGTCAAAGTCACATAGCAGAGAAGTGACAGGATTGAGGGTCATTCCTCCACATCCGGCTCCTGAACATGGTGGGTAAGAGTAAAACAAGCTAATAGAAAATCCAGGACCGGCTCGGCGCCTGTGGCTCAAGTGGCTAAGGCGCCAGCCACATACACTTAAGGTGGCGGGTTCGAATCCAGCCCGGACCTGCCAAACAACAATGACGGCTGCAACCAAAAAATAGCCAGGCGTTATGGACGGGCACCTGTGGTCCCAGCTACTTGGGAGGCAGAGGCAGGAGACTCGCTTGAGCTCAGGAGTTGGAGGTTGCTGTGAGCTGTGAAGTCACAGCACTCTAACCCAAGGGGATAGCTTGAGGCTCTGTCTCAAAAAAAAGAAAAGAAAAACAAAATCCAGGACACAAACCATGCAACCTGGAGGTAGGACCCCCAGAAACCAAGCAGAAATTTTCCAGAGGTCACCCAGCTTGGTACTAGAACACCGCCATGCTCCAGTCCTAAAAACAAGCAAAACTCTCTGCAGTACCAAACACTCCCCATAATCCTAGAGATACCCACCCAGGCCAAAGAATGAGCTACCTGGTGGGGCTGGTGAAGAAAACCTCTAAGTACTTCCTGGACCTCCATTTTTTCATCCAGTAAAATGGGGCTATAATATAGCTTGTATTTTGCTGGTTTTGTCCTGAGGACTTAGGGAAAAGCCGAAACTCAACCCTGGCCAGGTGCTAAGTACTAAATAAATGATAAACTATCCATTATCACTGCTGGCTGGGAGAGGGAGGTGTGCGCGCAAATTTTTAGTTTAGGTCCAGCCTTATTCCAGGGCCCAGCGCAAAGCCTCTCCATGCAAAGCCTCTCCGGGCTCTGCCGTGGGGACTTCCTGTGAAACGAACTTCTGGGACCTTAGACCACTTACTTAGTAGGGCACAGCCTAATACGTGACTGGGGTTGTCCCCTCTACCCACAGTGTTGACAGTAACCGCAGAGTCCCGGGCGGCCTGCCAAGCCCCCAGAACATCCGCGTCCCCCTTCCAAATCAGGGGTGTAGTTGGGTTGGATGGAGACAAGGTCGACTCTCACTGGCCAGTCCAGGTAGCCCATTCCCCGCGCCGGGGGATAGGAGCCGGGACGCATCCTAGAAAGAGTCCTCTGCCTGCGGGCCCCCGCTAAGAGGAAGGGAATCTGCGGAAGGGGGCGGGGAGGAGGAGTGGTCGGGCAGCTCTGGCCGGGATTTGCCTGGACTTGAAGACGCTCTCAACAGGAGCCTAAACCCTGAGCTTCGAAAAGGCTACCCCTCATTGGCCAGGAGTCCGAAGGAGCCAGGAGAGCTCCATTGCCCCGAGGGGAGGGGGAGGGGTGGAGATGGCCGAGGCTGTCAGTTGATGCAACCCCAGTCCTGGGTTACGCGCTCCATTCCCTCTCCCAGAGCCCGGGGGAGGGAGGGGGGGCGCACAGACTAGGCTCGGGACAGCTTGAAGCTAAGAAGCGGCTCGGGGTTCAAAGGGAGAGTGGCGTCGCTCCGCCGCTGCTTACCTCTCCTGGCCCCTGGCCGCCGACGCCTCCCGGGGCGAACGGCAGGTAGCCCTTGAGCTCCGCGCGGCACTCAGAGTCCGCAACGATCATCTTGTGCGCCAGGACCCAGCCGCGGCTCGCCGACGACCCGTGCACCGGAGGGGGTTCTGGACGGACGCACGCAGGAAGCCGGGACTGGGAGCCGCTGGGGAGGTTCTAGAACCCCAGGGTGTCTCTCGGGGTTCCAGAACCCTCTGAAATCGCAGAACGGCCGCTGCTGTGCTGGACTCTTCCCCCAGTCTAGCTTCTGGAACGGTGAATGGCCTTGGGGACCTGGGATTGGCCGCGGCGCAGGGGTTTTCACGGCCTCGGAAGTCCGCAGTGGCCAGAGCTGCTCGCGGACCCAGCGCTCCTCAGCATCCCCGCCGCGGAACTGCCAGCGCTCGCCGGGCTCTGACACTGGCAGAGCCCCTCAGCCCGCTGCGGTCCCCGGGGGAGGGCGGGGACACAAAGCCCTCGGCGCAGCCAATCAGATGTCTGTTTCCCGGGGAGGAGGGGACGACACCTCCCTCTGGAGCCAACAGGTCCGCCAATCGGCTCCGGGAAGTGCCCGGGAACTCTGGGAGCTGTAGTCGGCCTTGGACAAATGCTGCAAACTTTTGCAAGAGGGTTTAGTCAGATCGCAGGCAATACCAGAAAACAGTGACAGCTCAGAGAGTCATTAGGTCTGCGTGATAAAAGGGGACTTTACCGGGCTGGGCCAGAAAGCTGGGTGTGAAATCTCTCCCAAATGAATTCTTCATCTTTTCAGTTCCTGGAGGGACTGGTTAGGGTTTAGGAGAGATTGGGTACCTGCGTATCCAGTGGTGCTAATTACAGAGGTGAACTCTGAAAGTTAGAGTACACAACCCTGGCTTTGGGGAGGAGTCTACTTTCAAGTGTGCCAAACATGGATAATTCGCCTTATTTGTGGAGTCTCTGGAAAAGGCTTCATTCCTTGAAATCTCATTGGTTACCTGATGTCTAACCTCAATCCCAGTTGCTGCAGTTTCTTCCCCTTCTGCTCCTTTGGACTAGAGGCGCCTTGCCACCCTCCTCGAAACTTTGTAACAAGGTGTTCTGCTCAGTCTATTCTCACCTCTGCCTCTAGCCACTCCTTCTCTGACTCCTCTTTTTCCACCCACTCCCTAAAACGTGGGTGCTTTCCTAGTTTCTGTATCCCTTTTCTCTCCAGGCATGCTCTCTCTGATCTCACCCAGTTCCTAGCCTTCAACTCTCCTTTTGCCAGGAAGTTACCTCTATCTGCACCTCAAAGTGGAATTTATCTGTTAGTTTCCTTCACAGTTTTCCCTCACAGGTCCTTATTTTGTTGCTTTTTTTTTTTTTTTAGACAGAGTCTCATTCTGTTGCCCAAGCTAGAATGCTATGGCATCAGCCAAGCTCACACGAACCTCAAACTCTCCGGCTCAAGTAATCCTCCTGCCTCAGCCTCCTGAGTAGCTGGGACTATAGGTGCCCACTACAACAACACTCACCTAATTTTTCTATCTTTAGAACGGATGGGGTCTCGTTCTTGCTCAGGCTGGTCTTGAACTCCTGAGCTCAAGGGACCCTCTCTCCTTGGCCTCCCAGAGTGTTTGGATTACAGGAGTGAGCCACTGTTCCTGGCCTTTGTTTCCATTTCAAAGTCATTGTTTATTCAAGATGTGGAATCCTGTCAGGGGGTAGGGATGGACCAAACCCCCAAGGTCACCTCTGAAACCGAATCTGGGCTTATGATCCCAAAGATCAGACTCTGACTTGATCTTCTGCCTCCAGCTTCTTGAGAAAAGAACATTAATTTCACTCCTGAGCTCTCAAGGCTCTAGGGCTAGGTCTCTGTTTTAACACTTATGATATTCTACATTGTATTGTGATTTTTGTGTACATGTCTTATTTGACCCTTTTGATTATAAATTCCTTTTTTTTTTTTTTTTGAGACGGAGCCTCAAGCTATCCCCCTGGGTAGAGTGCCTTGGCATCACGCTCACAGCAACCTCCAACTCCTGGGCTC